TTCCTCACAAGCTTCTCATTTGGAATAATCTCTCCAAACAATTTGAGACCATTGACAATCGTGGAAAATCTATCCGTCATAGCTTTGATATCTTCATCTGGTTTCATCCTGAAATTTTCATAGCTATGAGTTAGAAGACTAATTTTAAATTCTTTACCTCATTTGTGCCTTCATGAGTGACTTGTAGTTTATCCCATATCTCCTTCGCGATTATACAAGTTGAAACTCTCCCGTATTCATCCGGTCGAAGAGTACAAAAAATAATATGGATAACTTTGGAGTTGAGCTGGAACATTCTTGTCTCTCATTCACTCCACAATCTTGGATGAGTGGAAGGTTTGGTGTATCCGTATTCTATGATATTCCATGCTCCCATGTCACTTGCTTGAATGAAGTACATCATTCTATTATTCCAATAAGTATAATTAGCTCTATTGCAAAAAGGAGGTTTATTGACGAGAAATGAATCAAGACTGAAGTCATGGTTTGAAGTGGAGGCCATTGATACTTGATTATCGATGTAACTCTTTATGGATCTACTCAAGAGGCGATTAAACTTTCAAATGAGTCAAGTTCTGATACAAATTGTTGAGTTAATCGATCGACAGAATAGGCCAAGAGGGGGTGAATTGACAATAAAACTTTCGGTGGAAACTTTTGCAGAAAATTAAAAAATATTTGCACAATGGTTTAGAGTGGTTCGACTTTCTCAACCAAAGTCTACGTCCACTACCTTAGCTATCCACACTAAGGATTTTTCACAAATTCACTAATTTGACTTTCTTTTGAGGACAAAGAGTAACCTTACAAATCCCTCAAGAATTATACCCCAAATTCTTGAGAACACTCTCTCCCAAAGAGAACAATACAAATTTTGCAAACTTACAAGAAAATCCTCACAAGGCAAGATGTTTGTACAATTCTAGAACAAAGAAAGAACACTCAAGAATAATACAATTGAACACAATAAGTGTTCTTGAAAGCAAAAATGAATATTGAATGAAATAGGCTTGAAAATGCTCAAACTTGAGGTTTGATGCTTTCTTTTTTATTCTCTCTTGATTCTTGATAATTGTTTTTGATCAATGGCTTCTAAGCTTATTTAAATACACCTTGGATCACTTCTGAACGTTGGGGATCATTAGTGGAGTCAATAGAGCCGTTATTGTGTGAAAATAATTAATAAAATAGTTGGGAGCGTATGATGCATCGATGCATAGGCTTTGTGCATCGGTACACTATGTGTAAAATTTAAATGTTTCAACCGTTGGAAGACTTAGTGCATCAGTACTTTAGGGTGTGCATCGATGCAAAATTTTCTTCGATGTTTCAAAAATAACCAGGGTGCATCGATGCATGGCTTGTGCATCGGTACACAAAATCAATTTGATGTTTTAATAAAATTCTGAGTGCATCGATGCATGGCTGTGTATCGGTGCATAAAATGCATTTGAAATGGGAGTACATCGATGCATCAAATTGTTTTAAATTTTTTTAGTTTAAAACAAAAATTTTCACCTCAGTAAGGATTAAAATTGAACTTTGAAAGACTTGGAGTAATATTTTGATATTCGAATAATTGTATTGAATATACTTAGAAATTTATTTATAAAATCTTAGAATTCATTTATACTTAGTTTATTATATCGAAACATCAAAATGTTTTCAACACTGTCCCTCGAGTTTGGCAAAAAACACTCCAAAACAAAAATATATCGTTTTAACTAAAGTCGTTACTGGTATTGTCATACCCCTTTAAGGTTAAATTGATAGCTTATCCAAGTTGGTCGTCATGTATTCGTATCGATATCCTCTATCATATGCATTTGCCCATATTTCTTTGTTGATGAGGATGATATAAGTGTATCCTTCCTCGTTTTTTCCTCACAAATTTAAAGCATGAACTCAAATGTTTAAGGTAATAGTTCGTAACTTAAGCATCAAACGTTGAAATTACTGTTATGTTTCCATAAAAAAATGAAAATGATTGAGAAATAAAAAACATCATTTTGACATACCCATGGGTACAAGTAATTGGCACACATTATTCTTATTGAACTTTCCATGATATTTAGCAACAATGTGTTGGATACAATACCGATGTTGGACATAGGGTAGTTGCCAAATTGGACCCAAATAATCCATTGCTACTTTGATCCTAGCTCCGTGATCTGAAATGACGCATATTTTTCCCTCGTGACAATATGTAAGCTTATGTTTTCAAGGAAAACCCCCAAAAATCTGTATTTTCTCTTTCAACAAGGGCAAAAGTAATTGGAAGAATGTTGCGATTGATATATTTGACAACTATCAATAGTAAAACTTGCTTGTATTTTCCATACAAGAATATCTCATTAATTTGGACCACGAGCTTGCAGTATTTCACAACATTAATGCATTGTGGGTAAGTCCAAAAAAGCTAGTAGAATTGACATCGATCACGAAACACTCGAACATTGTGGTATGCATGGCAAGTTTTTAAGTCGATAATTTTCCCAGGGTTCAATCTGTGCATTACCCTAAACCAACTTGATAGTTCGTTGTAAGATGCACCCTATTCATAATGAAGTTTTTTTAATGACATTCTGTTTTGCCTTCCATGCTTTATTGTATGAGATAGTATACCCATATTGCGATGTATAGCTGAAATCAACACCGAAATAAATATATGAGAGCTTGCTTTGACCATGGGCATGATGGCTTGGCAGAAAATGTCGGAGTCCAAGTTGGAATGATCCTGGTTGATCCCTTCAGCATAACATGTGTGGGAATCATTGTATATTGTTAGTTCTCATATATTGTTTTTTCCTATTTTTTTCGATACATGAATCGTCCAGTTGCAATCGTTAATACTTTGGACATAGTGACAAACAACTTTTTAGTGGTAGTACGGTCCACTCTGGACTGAACATAATTATGAATGTTGTAATTATTAATTGTCATCATCGCTTCTTCTTTGTATGGAAACTCCATTCCTTTATATAACTCACCATCATTAACTGATGAGTTAAATCTGTAGTCATCGACATTAGGCATATCTGTAAATTTTGTCCCGTACATTACAACACAGTCAATTTCATACATTTGTGTTGGAGGTTCGATGTGTACTATTTGTGGGAACTTCATCTACATCATCATCATCGGAGTCCATGTTGAACTACGGTGATTCTGGCTGAACAAATAGTCTAATCTCAGCATCATCCACACCTGGCTCGCGAAGAGGTTCTTCTTGTGGAGATAAGGGTTCCTCCACGATGTCAACATTTAGGTTGAACAAGCTGATAGTTGAATGACTTCCCTTAGAACTTGAAGACATCGTGTCAAATGAGTACTATACAGATTGATGCGTCGAGGGCATCTCTATATTTAGGTCAAAGAAATTGGCAGATGAATGTTTTTCCTTGAACTGAAGACGATATTGCCTTACGGATTGTTTGTGGATCCACCTCGGTACAGAACATAACAAGTTGTGATGAATGTCTTCCATTGAACTTGATGAGATCACGCCATGATGTGGATTTCCCATTAAATAGTTAAAATCATTACACATTACTTGAGTTGGGATGTCAACTTGATCAGCTTGTTGAGCCAACCCATAATGGGAGCATAATGATATACTATGAACAACACACATTTGAACAAATGTCGCATACATCTGTGTATCGGCGTCTGAATATTGATTCTGAGAATCAACCATCATAGAAACATCATCATCGTTGGAGCGTTCGAATGTTGTATAAGTTAATGAAAATACTGAGGTTGGAAATCTGTACTGAAGTGAAGACAATCTTCTAGTACTTCCAACATGAACATTCCTTGAAATTTTAGTTATCATCTCCTAAGAGTGATGTTTCTGTTGAATGATATTCTGACAGAATGATTTGATACAAGACGACATCGGTTTCACATTCTTATTTTAAGAGTTTTAAAGGCTGAGAGTTTTATATCTGCAAAAACAATAGTTGAAATACGCCTAATTAAATAAATAATATATGAATTAAAAATATAAACTAATCTAAATAAATTTAAAAATTTCCATAATAATTTAAATAACATAATTTCATATTGTTACCGTATCGACAAAATGTCTTGTGATATCATCCTGCTTTCCAATTTTACAACCACAAAAAAAATATACAAAATAATTAGTATAATAAAATTTGTTCAAATAATTAAATATAAAATAAATATAATATAATAAAAAAATTAACTTATAAAAACAATAACAAAATCTACTTAGTTTTATAGAATGAATTAATAAAAACGAGAATAAACAAATAATTTTGGTTTGATGATGTTTGCATTCGGAGTGGTTCTTATTTATTATGGAGTATCATTAATTCAATGTTCATATAAGGCGCGGCTCACCATCCGCGTCTTTCCTTACGTGGCGCCAGTTCGAACAGAACCCGCGAAAAATGATCTGCACCTTTCCTTATGTTGCGGTAGCTCGGACAGAACCCCTCAAAGGCGCGGATGGTGATCCGCGCTTTATTATCACCATGTCAGAAAGAGTGTTAGATCTGTAATATTAAGAGTGAGGATGCATGACAGGTAATTATTGATGGTACATTTGATATTTCAGTACAAACGTCGTTATACAAGTCTAGTTGCTTAATAAAATGTTGGGTTGGTTGGAGCGGTGATTTTTTTAGGCCAAAGAGTTTCTACAATGGGGAACGTGCACGCGGAGTTTGACTGTGCAAAACTAAAATAAACGCCGGCTCTTACTATGTTGGCCGAGGTGAAATCTTTGAGTTTTGGAGATTCTGTATTGCTCTTATTTGTTAATCATTTCCATTTTCATTCACATTGTAACACAAAGGATTGAGGGCTTAATCCTTGTAGGCCGAATAACCCAATTGCGTGCATGGACGTTTCCTGGGCTTGGGTCATTCATGGTCGATTTGATTTCTAGTGTCACTTAGAAATGGGTCTGAGCAACAGTTGAAAAAGCATCTCTATGAACCCAATTGAAGCCGCCGCCCAATCAGCTTCTTGTTTTAGCTACGTCTTTCAGTTCTCCAGAGGACGAAAAACCCTACTTTCGCTCATAGGTCAAGAGAGTCACGGCAAAGAGGAAAGGAAAATGGGAATGAATTTATTTGCTCTTCGCCTGGCCTTCAATTTCCGATCAATTTCTTCTTCTTCTTCTTCCTCCTCAATTTGTAGCACACGAACCACAATCTTCTCTCAAATTTCAAGAACCTTATGTTCCTCATCATCAGGTATTATCGATTCGCATAGATTCCACCACTGTTTTCTGTTATTTCTAATTCGTATCTAACTTTAAAAAAAGGGAAAATTTGGTTTCAGTTTCTTCGGATGCGATACATCCATCTGTCGCGAGGCTTCCGTTTGTGGATGCTTTCCTGGGAAAGATAAAGAACAATAAAACTCATTTAGCCAACAGGAAAATCTATTCACGTAGATCTACCGTTTTGCCTGAGTTCGTTGATTAAACCGTCCGGATTTAGAATGGAAAATTTTTTGTTCACTGCAAGATCACTGAAGGCAAAGTTGGTCATAAGTTTGGAGAGTTTGCTTTGACTCGAAAAAGAAAATTTTTGAGGAACAAGGTTGAACCTTCAAAAAAGAAGGGCAAGAAATAAGCATTTGCCAACCAAACCCCGTCTCATTTTGGTAAGAATCTACCTCGTTTTGTTGTTTGTTTTTAATGCCTTACTTAGTGAACATATTAACTAAATCTTGTTGCTTTCGGTTGGGGTATGTTAATGTCATGTTTTGTTTAGAAATGATCTCTTAAGTTTCTCTCTTTTTACATCAGATTGTCTGCAAGTGTTCATGGGAGCTCTTCTTAGAAATTGATGGGAGCTCGACTGTTGAAAGCAAGTGTTCATTATTTCTGAATTAGTTTTAGTAAGCATCGTATTGTGGAAGTAGTTTAATTAGACAAAGAAACCAGTTCGAAATTTTGGGTTTTTGTATTATGAGTGAATTTGAAAGCTTTCAGATGGCTGCCTGCAAGAGATGCATACATTCTTTATTAGTCAGATTTCGTGGTAATCTAATTTAATCTACTTCGTGAACTTGCCTTTGTGATCAGCAAGATCTCTATCGTCTTTAAGGTACTAGATTGATAACATGTTGAGGTTTAAGAAGATAAGTAGCTTAATTTAAGCAAGTTTTTTCCTTGCTTAAGACTGGTTGAGTGGGCCTTATTCATTGTCTGTATCGATTAATAAATGATGATTTTAATGTTTGGGTTCTTTTCTTTTCTTGTTTTTCCCCCAGAGAGAGGGGTGATTCCGGAGAAAGATGGGCAAAAGGAAAGCAAATGGAAGAATGGTTTTAAGGTCCCTTTTCTTTAGTCAAAATGATTGCAAGGTTTTGTTTGGTCAATTGTTGGCCTGCAATGTTATTATGAAAAACTGTGTTTAGATATCCTTGCAAACAATATACTTATAACAAGCAACAGTTGGGGCTTTGTGCATGAAGGTTGATTTTGCAATAAAATTGTTCTATTGTGAAATATATGCATGTATAGTATAGGTGAGCCGATGTTATATAAACCTTGGAGGATGGTGAAATTTGTTAAGTGCTCAAGGCCTTTTGATCTTTGTGATCATAGCTCTCTTCCTCTTTCCCTATTGGAGAAAGTGTAGGTAGCTCGAAACTATGAGGTGTACCTTTTTAAACCAAGAAAACCATAGGTAGAGAACTAGACATTGTTGCAATTGCAATTCACAGCAGTTTGTGTTTTGTGCATAAATTATCGCTTCTGATAAGTGATTTTGAACTATTTCTTTTAAAGGACTATGTTAAACTAATAATTGAAGAACATCATAAAATTGGAACTACTTGAAAATATATATATATATATATATATATATATATATATAACATGCACCAATCAAATTACAATGAAAACTATACCTTAAATCTCAAATATACTCAACAACAATGTATGCAATAAAGCATTTCTACCAAGGCAAATTTCCCTACATCTAGCACTGGAAGACAACCTCATTATACCATAACTTATTCCTCAAGCCTACTTGCCAGGTTTAGCAGCGAATATTCAAAGTAGGATTTTGTTAGGACGGCCATTTGAGAGAAATGAACTTCAAGGATCCGCAAAACATGATGTTATCATACGGAGTTGATAATCCCTGTCTGGTTTGAACAAAGACAAGAGCAATTGGGTTCACTCAACTCCCTCTTAGTAAGTCGCTTGTCACGATTAATCATATACTTTATCAGAGGAAGCTTTTGGGAGACTTGTCGCCATATTTCATTTACTGTTCCATTTGGATGAGTATAGTCATAATACCGCCTCACCTGAATCCACAATTTTAATTCAGAACAGAGCTCAGTTAACAGATGTTCAGAGTGAATTTGAGATTTTATGGTTACTGAAAACTACTTAATGTTGATGCATGAGAACAAATGGTAAAAAAAAAACAATTCAAGAATTGTACTACCACACTCCACTTATGTCTTCTCACCTTTCACTGACATGTTTAAACATAACCTTTTCTTCTAGAACTGTTCCCAGCACTTTGCAATCAAACTGATTATGGAGGGGTGGGAACATTGCAATGGTCCTAAGTTTGACCAAAATTATGATACACAATAATCTATTGAGGAAACAGAGAACGATCCAACAGGATCACAGTATATCACTCAACCATAAAATATGAGGAAACGGATGATGCTGTTTGCTATTTCCACCTTTTACAAACATAACAAAATGAATGCTGCTTAACAAGGAAAATTGCTTAAAAACCAAATATCATTGGCAAACCCTAAAGCAAATACACAACATCAAAGTTTAAAAGCAAAACCATATCATTACCAAGAAATTTTAACAAGAGATATCTGCTAAATAAAATGCATGATGTTAATGAATGTATAATTTATATGGAACAGATGTGATCGGATCAATTTTATTACTTCTCAGTAATGGAGTAAATAATGAATAACAAAAAAATAGGAATTGGACATGGTACAAACCTCTTTCATTGCTTTCTGATATTCAATTATTTGCTCTTCAGATACTTTTCTCAGCAGTGAAACAAGATATCCTGGTTTTAGTGCAGTTGTAGTTTCTACAAATACAGCAAACTTCTTGTAGTCTATAACATCTTCAAAAGGCAACTCAATGTTATCGCTGATTATCACAGGCACACACAAGCTAACTATAGAATCAAAGAGTCTGCAAGCTGATGGAGTATCTCCCGCAGGATTCAAACAGAACTTTGAAGTGTGCATCCCACGTGAAGCTGCTCTTCTATTCTCTCTGGATTGTGTTCCATGTTTTATTACAACATCGTCCTCATTTTCAAGTATTTGGAAAAGCAAATCACGAATTTTGCCTCCCTGCAAAATAATAGGCATTATAATGGTATCCTAGACTTTAGTCATTCGTGTGAGATCTGTTTTAGTGATGTGCTTTCAAACTATCTGCATCTACAAGAGCTTTAGTACAACTCTTGATAAAAAGGTCAAGGCATGCATTTAAGCTTTAGTACAATTCTTAATATTCATGGTATTTAAAACTGAGCTTAGCTCTCCAAGATCTACCTTTCCAATAAAATAATAAGAATTATAATAGGACCAACAAACAAAAAATCAAACGAGGAACATTAATTCCACCTAAAATGATAATCTTGCAAGTGTTATTACCAATATATCATGATACGCTAGTCATTCAGGTGAGTTGGATGTGATTTCAAACTACCATCTGCATCTATAGGAGCTCTAGTACAATTCTTCATAAAAAGGTTAAGGGCAAGCATTTAAGCTAAGTGAACAGGAAAGGCTTTTTAATTATCAGTTCAGCTTAAGATTGGACATAAAAATATTCAGAGCAATAGAAAAAAACTGTTGTGTAAGGCAACAAAGCAAATTATGACAAATCAAATAGCATTGATGAGCATGAAGTAGTCTTGTATTTGCAAGGTATATATGGAATCTAGCTGTCAACTTATATGTTATGCTTCAGCTTCGATTTGGCGATTTGGAGATGGTGGGGAAAAGAGTTGTTGAAGATGAGCGTCAATAAAATTTAAGGCAATGCCCTCATTTACAATATCCTGCATTGCTTATACCTGGATATAAGCAAATATAAGCTAGTAATTACTCACAAAACCAGTTTTTTTTTATTCTTCTCCTAATTTTTCTGATCTAAAGCTTCAATTGAGCAGAGTTCACATCTTTTAACCCAACTATATGCATGTTTGGTAACCTCAACAAGCTAAAACTCACAATTCCATTATTATCTAAATAACAGTGAGATTCAACAATGCATCATAATATGCGAAACACAAGAACATAACTTTGTACTGAACGATAGATTACCTCTTTTCTGTACCGGTTTCCCATGAAAAATAGTAAAGTCGTCCTGTCTTTCACCCCAAAATCTCCTGTATAAGCACTGATCCGATGCGAATAAGGAATTATGACATCCTTCACCAATGACCCTTGATCTGGCCTCAACCGCCCAAAATCCGAAACCAACAGCACAGCATTCTTGACATGATCCACGCCCCGATAAAGCGCATTGGGATCTCCTGCATTAATGACGTGATCCCATCCACTATTCCTCTTCCAATACTCATGCCCCTTGAGCCAATCCACCAGCTGGTTCTGCATTTCCTCGTCGCTGTAATCCGACCCAGAACCGGGAGGGCGTCCCGCGTTAACAATCAAGCTCAATGAAGAAAAGACAGGAACGTAGAAAAGGTCGGCTTCCTCCGGGTCGGAGACTTTAATGACGGGGGATCCGAGGCGGTCGGATTGGGGACGGGAGAGGTCGGAGAAGAGGAACCACTCGTGCATGTGCTGGTGACCGGGGTATTTGAGGGTGGTTACATCAGGGACGGGAGATCCACCACGCGCGAGGGAGTGGTGCTGGATGATGCCGTAGGTGAACTTGTGAGGGAGATCGTACATAAAAACCTTGACTTTCTGGGGGAAATTATTGGGGTTTTCATGGGAAGAAAGACGATCGAGGTCAAGGAAAGAAGAGGAAGAAGAGTCGGAGGAAGAGAGAGGTGAGTGGAAGAAGGTGGAGAAGAAGGCGTAGATGGCGAGGAGGAAGAAGACGGTGGCGATAAGGGTATGTTTGAAAAGGGAAGATTTCCGCGGCATATTGGAAACCAAAGGGTGGGTGGAAGAACAAGGAGAAAGTGATCCCCTTGCCTTTAGAGTTTTCATTGGCTTTTTGGCCTTGGATTTAGGTGAGGGAGGCAGAGGCTCTTCAGCCGCACCTTTGACCCTTACCTTGCACAATCTTCCAAATTTATTCAATACAAACCGCTAATCCCAAAATTGCTAGGCTATGCTGCTTTGTATTGTATCTTCGTGTTGGGAATAAACTGCATTTTATATTTCTGTTGGGAATGGATTTGGAATGAACACTCTATTATAAGTATTACAAATAAACTTTCATTAGAGGGAGTGTTTTTATTAATTAAGACTTTGCTGAGAAATTAAATTATTGACAATGCAAAGGGCTTACAATTATCCAAAAATGAAAACGTTCTAACTCACGGCACGTCCAAGAAAATGAAAGAAATTATTACATGCCCAACTCATAAATTAATTGAATTATTGCACATATGTTGTAGAAATTAATTTCAACATATAAACCTTTTATAATAATTATAACTTTTACTAGTTTTAAATTTTAAACTCTTTTGAAAGAAATTTTTTAATTTACTAATGATAATGTTTTTGGTTTTATATTTGAATTAGAAATATGTTATATAAAATCTTTTATTAAATAAATAAAAATAGAGAAACCACTGAACAATATGTATGCATAAATTTTTTGTCAAATTTTATATTTATAGATTTAAGAAGTAAATATTATGTATAATTATAATTTTATTGGACATGGATTTGGAGGAAATGAAGTGAGTGGTTCATTTTTGCCTTTTTAGAAATTTGAGATGGTGGCTTAACTGATGATGGAAAATGTGGAGTTACTCCTGATTTCTTGGACTTTGTTGCCTTTGCTTTGAATTAGCTGGACCATTGATAAGTAGGAACGCATTTAACTTTTCATCATTGGGTGGATTGTTTGGCTGAGATTAAATTTTAAGAACTATTGGCTTAATTTTTCTCCGTCCACAGTGTTTCAGTGGGTAGCAATGCACTACATTATAATTTGAATAATGATTGAGAAGAGTCTGTCATGAATTGTATATGTGCTGAATTATGAGAGTTTGCCTAATACTAGTTCTCAATTTCCTCATTGAATTGAATCTGAACCCTAGACTCTAAACTTAAACCCTAAATCTAAAACCCTATAAAACAAACATAACTCGAGATAAGGATCTTCAATTGTGACTCCATAGTTGAAAACCCCAAAAATTTTAGTTCTTAAAGAATAGGTATAGTTTAAATTAAAATACTGCTAGGGTCAACAGCTTATTTTATGTTTTCTAGTAAGATTTCGACTAATACTTCTCAGGTAACATGAATACGTTCTTATCACACTTAAAATGACAAGGAAATAGATAGCAAAATAAATCTAGAAATTGTAAGGAAAGTTAACTTTAAAAGTGAAATCTAAAATCTAAACGTTCTAATTATAGACAAAATTAAAAGTAAATTACATAAGGTATTAGACCTAAATCTAAAGTTTAATTAATAACTAAATCAATGGGAAATTAAACCAATCATTGTACGCAATAAAAAACAATAAAAGGACTAAATTCAAAAAGCAAGGAATTACATTTTGAAACCTAGAAATTAGAACGAACAGGTTAATCCAATCCAGCCCTGGTACAGTGAGGACCATGCAAAAAGTAAATAACATTGATCAGTCAACTACACATGAAACCAACTTAACAAAATCAACAATGGAGTTGTTGAGAATTGATTAAATTTATCATGCATGAAAGATCTTATAAAAGAAAGCTTCTGACTTGATGAACTAAAACATTTTGATATCACTTGTCTTGAGATTGAGATCTATGTCCATATTCATCTTTGATTGCCTCATTCTTTAAAGCATTTAAAGCTATAATACTCATACACGACTAACGAGTACGAGCGTCAGATACAGATATGTTTCGAACACCGACGTGGTCATTTTTTTCTATGTTTTCCCATCTTTAAGAGAAACAAACAGCCAGAATGACATTATCATAAACACCAAGGGTGTTTCAGTTGGTGTCTAGAATCAAAATCCATCTTAATATAAATTCGGTCTGCATAAGTGTATAGAACTCTACCTGAGTGCCTGTGCACGAGATGCAAGGAGAGGAACAACTTGTATTTTAGTCGAGTTCCTGCATTGGATGGCAACGAAGACCTCACATCCTAAGCTTCTTCCTCAAATCATCCACTTTCTTTACCTGTAAAAGCAGTCACCATAAGATCAAAAAAAGGAATGCTATTAATTCTTGTGTTACTGGTAGATGTATATATATATATACCTTACTCAGATCCTTTACAAAGTATGCAACATTGTGTGCATTGCTTGATTTCACATCTTCCTCGACACGTGGAGAATTTTGTTTACCTTCAGGGTTCATCAACTTCCAAATTGTCTTCTTTAGACCGTCATAGCCCCAATGAAAGGCAACATGAGACGCATAATCAGGATCGGCAAAAAGCTTTCCATCTACAAATTATCCAAACAACTAATCTCCCACAATTATCAATAACCAAACTACAAATGTCAGAGTTTTGATAAAACGCGGGATGGGAGTGTCGAATCCAATCAAAGAAACGCAATGCAGAAACTTTCTGGTAATATAATGTTCAAAAAATGGTGTTCAATGATAACTCGGAAAGTCGTACATTCATGGCATCCAAATTGGATTCTAAATCGTTATCGTCCCTTGTAATCAAATTGGTAATCTCTGAAATTTGCTTTCGACTCAAATTTACCCGTGAAGAAGAAGCAGAGAAACTTTTAAATGTTCAGTGTCTTAACCGATGAGTATTTCTATATCTGCTAGTAAGTTTTGGCGAAACCCCTTGAATGTTTTAGGTCCTTTAACTACATTGTATGATTCAAAAAGCACCAGAAATCTGAACTCGAACCAAAAGCTTGAGTTCAACAAATGAGATCAGAAACAATTATCTCAACACGGTTCGTCTACATGCTCAATTAAACTTACAGAAAATAAATGGGCTTACCAGTAACCAACTAAAGATGGTATAGCATCGATAATGATGACGCAAATAACAGTTGCGATTATAGATCCCCAAATTGCTGCATGAGTTATCCAATTCCAACGGATGACATCCATGGCCAGGTGTAAATTAACCAATATAACCACCGCAAGAGTCCAAAGATCTCCGATACTTGATGCATCAATGGTGCTGCTCCAGTAAAAGACAACTGCACTTTGCCAGACGGTATCAATCGTTGTTATCCAACACAATCGTTAATGTGCTCCATATCCAGCACTCGATTGAACTGATAATCGAATTTCGAACTTGGAATCACCAATGTCCGACCCAGAACGCCGCGAAGAACATGTGTTTCTCTACACAAATTAGATGGTTAGTCATTTGACCCGACAAGCAAATGGTGACAAGCAAATGGTTATTGGCACAAACAAATGAACAGAATCAACTTCAAAGAAGGATCAAATTTATTATGAGGTTTTAGAGGACGGTGGAGAATGATTAAGTGCTTCTGAAAAAAAAATAAGCAATTGAAATCCAAAGATTGCAAGGCTCTATAAAGAAAAGTATCTCTGGGTATAACCAACATATCCCACATCTGGGAGAAAAGAATAAACAAAATGGTATTTAACTTGTTTTTTCCTTGACCACCCTATTCGCAGTGAACTCCTTTTGGTTTATAACTGATGTAGTAGCAGATTTTCCCGATAACTTGCATTGATGCGCCTTCTTAGGTTCATCAGTGGGAATAGAGTATTCAAAAATCGAAAGAATGGCAAGAAGAAGAATAACAATCCGAAGCAGAAATCCAAAGAATCGAAGGCTGTGAAAGCTAAGAAGAAGTCTTCCTGGGGAGAAGAGTGTTGTTTTGAAGTTGAAAGAAATCCCACATCAGGTGGCAAACATGGTTTATATACTGGGATGCAATTTGAGCATAACTGAGCCGCGAGGCCATTGCTTGGGCTTTGGGATTGGGCTTGGTCTTGGCTCATCCCCGCAGGCTGGAAGAGATTATGGGTTCGTTTTCTCAGGGATAGAGCTAGAAACCACATAGGCAAAGATATAAGAGATGAGTTTTATTAGGCTTGGACCATTATCCCACATCGTTGTGGAAAGAAAAAAGGAAATGGTTTTTAAAGAAGAAACCAAAAACGTGAAAGCGGGGCTGTAAGCCCATACAAGGCCTTGGGTTTGAGTGTGACCGTTGGGCTCCTGGCTCACTTTCTGGGTGCGGGAAGAGTTTAGGAATGGTGGGTGGATTTTTTGGTACCAGATTTGGTTTAGGGTTTAAGGTGTAACTTAAATTCAGCACTTCAAAATTCCATCCATCTTTAACCAAAGCCATCACTCTAAGTTCCTTCATAACTTGAAAACAGCCTTAGCTCACTCAAGTCTCTCATATCAAAAAATCAAAACTTATCCTCAGGAAATATACCCAGCAATTATAACAATTAAATCCCGTATTAAAACGCCATGGTATCTTTTTTTTAATAAAAAAATAAATGCAATATTCATATATCACAACGTACTCTTAACCCAAATAAACATTCCTTTATTTAAGATAATCTAATAAAACCCATTCCTCAAAAAGCAAAAATAAATGGTTCAAATGTCGAAACTTGGCCATATATATTACCCCCTCAAAAATGGAGAAAGGAAGATATAAAAAGAGAATAGAAAGGAAAGTGAAATGGACGCTAACCTTTTAAAACAAATCAGATCTGATGTTGCAACGAAACCAATCTATAAACATGTCTCTTTCACAATTTTTTCTTCTTTTTTTATTGAGATTTTCGAGAGAGAGAAAAAAAACACTCTAATAAAACGGATTGAAGAAAAGGAAATTGGGGGTGGTCCGGGTAGAAGGACTGCAGCAAGGGGCACTCGAAGAAGAGTATTTAGGAACGTTGTATTAAGATGTTTGACGGTTCAAATTTTGGAGTTGAAAATTGAATGACAGCTTGATTCATTGTTTGATTGTTGATAAAAATTCATGGGTAAAGTATATTTACTATTGTTTAATTTTATTTTAAATTTTAATAACATTTTCGATTAATTTTTGTTTAGATTAAATTAAGAGTATTACACCATTACTTTCACTTCTATAAATAGATATCGAACATATTTCTTTTTAAACATTCCTTCATCGTGTTAGAAACATTATAGATAGAAATAACTTAAATCTTTCTTCTAATTTTTTTTAAAAAATAATTCATTATAATTATTATCATGCGAATCAATGTCTTTTTTTTAATGATTCATTATTAATTATCATCACTTTTTAATAACATCTTCATCAAACATATAAGTTAAATTTTTAATATTTTACTTTTAGAGTCGATCTTAGAAAATTTTATTTTTGATTTCTTAATATTAGAAATATTACCTCAAGAATTTTTTAGCATATCTTCAAATGGGTTGTAGAACCCTTAATTTTATACAACATCTTTAAATCAGAAATTTTACGAGTGTAATTATTGAAAATCTAATACTGTAAACTTGAATTATAAATATATTTGATCTAAATAAATAAATAATACTATCAGTCAAATCAAATCTATTACATTTGGCATAAACAATATATAATACTATTGGACATGGAAAATTCCCATTCCTTTTATAGCTTTGAAAAAGGTACTTAACAATAATTTTTATTTGCAACATGGAGATTAAACTACCATTTCATGCTCTAAACAGCAACTTTCAGAGGCCAGTTTTAGACAATGCTTTTAAAGCTTCAGAAATCCTCTGGCGTTGCTCCACCTCTAATACTGCTGATCGAGGAACTGTCGGAAGGAACGATGTCGTTTCTCAAGCCTGTTGTTCGGAGCAATGCTTCGGAATCGTTTGTCACCACTTCATTCATGATCAAGGCTGTAATAGGCATATACCCAGAGCAAAGCAAGTTGTAGCATCCAGTGGCTTGGTATGCATCAGTCTGTATATTAAAAGTCAAATAGTCGGTTCGATTTCTAAGGTAAAAAAGAAAATTTCCTACTAGGAAAGGAGACATTTCGAGATTTTACTCACCGTCCAGTATGTGAAGAACCTAGGGTATTTGTCTCCATATAGTTCAGGACTAACCTGAAGTAAGATGAATGCAATTGTGCATTATAACCAAAACCATACAGTATCTAATGAAAGGATTAAACAAAATAATTATACACATTAATAATTGAATACAACTTCGAAAATGGTTTTGCAGAAAACTCGTGGTTCACACACCATTTTGATGTTTCTAGTATACTATTTGATTGTTAAATATATGACAGAAGGTTTTCTGTTCAGGATGCAAATCAAGATAAGGACTTATCAATGCAGGAATTCTGAATATGTACTAAAAATTCAGGGACATACCTGCCAACCAGCTTCAATGGTATTAAGATCATTGCCAAAAGAACCAGAGATTATCCATATCTGTGAGAAACTAAAATCGTATTCATTAGTCAGATCAGGAGCCCACATGTTTAAGCTTGCCTTTGCACCATAATACTGATCTCCGTCCACGAACACAACAGCATGCTGCAGTAAGAAACAAAAATGTCAAAATTTTTACATGATTTCATATATTCATATATATCGCCTTGATGAGAACCAAGTTATATTCGGCATCAGATTATAAGTGATTGGCTATTATGAGATGTAAAATTCAATTACTTGAAAAGAGCAGTGCTGTATAATTGAAAATCAACTGTAGAGTCTAATGTCTCTTCTAATAAACTTTGGAAATTCAAAGCTTGAAATCAATCTAAGCAAAAGAAGCAATCAAGAAATAAATAGTTAAAAATTGTAGTAATACCATCTCCAGTACAAAGGTTGCATATTGCAGCAATTGCAATTGGTGAAGTACTCCAGTAAAGTGCACAAGCCAAAGTAATTGTTGCAGAATAATAGAGTGGTTCTTTAAGAAGTTCCTTGATGTAAGGAAGTGAGTTAGCGACAATTTAAAGAAGTCGTAAGAAAGGCAGCAAACAAGAAACGATCCATAAAGGGGTAAAAGATAACACACTATTTTCCCTCTTTAATGATATGTTATGTCAAAAGACCATGACTCATTTGATGTCTACATGATATACAACTGCATTTGCTAGATTAAACAACAGGAAATTGTCAACTTCACACACAAAAAAGTTCGATAGATTTAGTTTGCCAAACTGATCTCCGATGAAGCAAATACCAACAGAGAAAGCTAATCTCAAGAAATATCGCTGATACTTGTAACATATAAATAAATAAACTATGATTTCATCTTCATCCTCACTTGTAGTCCCCATATCTGCTCATTGACTTCACAGTGGCTTCATCTTTCCATATTCCAGAACCTACAAGAAACATCCGTATAATATTGATGCCAGGCGTAACAGCTGCTAAAATTGCTCCACGATACCCAGAACTACTATGATAAGTGATAACTATTTCATCAGCAACATCTGGTAAAACAAGATAACGACACCTCAATGAGAAGACAACCTGAATAATGGCCAGCAAAGCATGAAAAGTAGCCCAATGCTTATATGCACAAGCTTCCGATTCAGTTTCTGAACAGGAAAGAAAAAGGTCATGAAACTGTTAATAAGAAATTCTGATAAGAAATTTCTCTTTCTGATAGACAAGTTTACCTAGGAACAAACAGTATACTTGTAACATGTAAGCATCATTTCTAGATAGAATTGAACAGAAAAAGATTGTTTATTAAAGATATCATTTGATTCATTTATCATGTGACATGCAAATTAGGCGTAAAGCAGTAACGTTATGAAAATGGTGCAGTCAGATGCCAAGTGGGAGATGAGAAATGCGATTAATTTGAAATAGTTCATACAACAATAAATCCAAAAATACACAGATTTACACAATATGAATTACAATATTTCAGCAAGCGCTCTCCGGGTGCAGGTAAAACTTTATCATGATGCAGAGCAAGTAGCAGACAATCTAAGACGATAAAAAAATAACACAATTACAGAATTAATTTCCTGAAGATTGAACTGTAGTTCCAATTAGTACTCATAACCGAAATGATTAATTATTCCAGATTAAACTCTAATTGTAAAAAGGGTAAAAGAAAAAAACCCAAGCATTGATGGCAAAAACTTTTTCATCAAGCGCTCTCCATGGTGTTATGGTCCCTGCTCCAATCTCTTTCGTTATCGCTCTTCCTTCCTCCCAAAAGAAGTATCTGCAGAAAAAAGAGGATATTTTACATCTACAGTCATCCATGTGGAACTATCGCACGGAGAAGAGGATATCATGCTCAATGATCCCACACCCACAGCAAATTCAAATCAAAGTGAACTCAATTCATCTAGGAACTTATATATAGAAGATGTTTTTCAAAGAGAATCGATCTATAATACATGAAACAACCAGAATATTTCACAATAAAATGTATTCGATCCATTTATACCTTGATAAAAACATGAAAAATGTTGCAATAAGCATGCTGAGCTAATATCGAGATTGGGGACATACAGTAATAGGCTCTAAATTAGAATAATGAAAGTTTTCACGCTATATAATTTTATAATTCACATCCAACATAATCAAGACATACAGCTTTCCCGTAGAAATAAACAACAGCCAATCGGGATTAACTCGCATATAGTTTATCAACATACCTCCTAGAGCTACAACTCATGGAATTCTTTCCAAATGCTCCACCTCCGCAAAGCATCCTTCATCATCACCAACCAAAAGGAAAACAAGTTAAAAATTAGAGCTTTCCAAGTAAGAACCCAGAAAACCAAATGCCCAAAACGATCACAGAAGAAGAAATAAAAGGAAACACAAAATCAGACCTGGAGAAGTAAGCATGTTACGGATGGTTTGAGAAACCATGGCAGCTTCCTTGTCGATAACAAATTCCATCCCTTCAGCGCTGGAAATACCTATCCTGCTTGCTTGCTTGGGCTTGTCCCATGGGCTGCTCCCTGCGCCCCTGCCCACTTCCCGCGCGCTGGTATATGATTAATTTTTCTGAAAACATTTAATATTTTTTTTCTTGCTTGTATATGAAAACCCCAAAGCTTCCTTCTTTGTTCCTCCTGTCCGTCTTCTCTCATCACCGTTTCTCTTCAATTTGTTTTCTTTGGGGGATTTTTCCAGTTACAAAAAAAATATTTTCTAAACCCCTGTACTTACATTAAAAGCAAGATATAATTCCCTGTGTAGAATTTAAAAAAAAGTTTTATTTTTTTATTTTCTTTTGTAGGGTTAGGTTCTGTTAACAGGGGCAAGAAAGCCCTAATCGTTTTGCTCGTTTCCTTATGTTTTTGCAGAGTATTTTTCTATATTTAAAGGTCTACAGACTATGTAAAGAAGAATCTTCAAGGTAAAGCTGAGAGGTTTGGGTTTTTATCTCATAATTCTTTGTTTTTTGTTCAACTTCTGGTTAACTTGTAATGGGTTTAGTTCTTGAGCGGTTTTTTTTTTTTAATTTATAATGTGGATTTCGGAAGATTTAATGTAAAAATGAATTGGGTTTTGTTTGGATTAAGCATTTGAGTTGAATTTGTAGAATGATTTTGTTTTTCAAGTTTCTTTGGATCTGAGCTTTGATAATTATAGCATGAATTGGTCCATATGCTACCCTTTTGATCTAAGAATGTAAGTTAAGTTTATTTGAGAATAAAATTGACTATGCTATAAATTAAACTTCTTTAGCTAACATGGAAAGATGAACAAATGTTGTGATTGTTTATGCATTATGAGGAATTTCGAAGTCGAAACGGAAATTCTAATTTTAGAAAACTATGATTCTTCATTGCTATATATTGTCCGAAAATTCATTCTACTTAGACGGTACATTGCATATCTGTGTTTCAGGTTTCCTCACTCTTAGATAGGATCTCAAACTAGATTATTACCATTCTATTGGAGAATCCAACATCGGTTTAAAGGTACATTTGACATTTAACTAAGATAAGATATATACCCTTTCATGGTTGAAATATATCTTGGAGAGTTCTGTATGATGTTGTTTCGGTACCTTTGTCTCGTAGTAGACAAAGTGAAAGAACATGGAGTTTGTATTATTTTCATTTAAAATTGAAATTGAGAGCCAGCAGTTGATCCACTCCCCCGAGTTTCCTGGGAATTTCTGCTCAAATTTGTATTAAGGCGTGAGTTTTCAGGGAAACCTTAGCCCTTCTTTGGTTGATCTTGTTCCAAAAATGTAATTTAGACTTCAAGATGTTAGTTTTCAAGTCATTAACTTTTTGCTCTTTCACTACGCTGTCAGTCTCCATCCCTGATTGTTTATGCAGTTTTCTGGTTCATAAACTGGATAATCAAGTTCAAGGTTTTGAAACGTGGTGTATTTGTGATGTTTTGTTGTTTTGTATAACCAGGATATAGGATCATTGTTTCTTTTGCTTGTGGGTATCCATAAAAACTAACATAAAATTCAAAGGAAAAACCGACTTTAACATTTTCTGTTTCCTTCATGTTAATAAATAAATGAAGTCCTATTAAGAAATGTAATATTGGCATGAAGAATTAGTAGAATGCAGAAACTAGAGAATTTAAAATAAATTATTCTGCTGTTATTGTAAACAATATGGGAAAAGAATCATAAAAAGGAAATGGGTCAAAAACTAGGCAAATTAAAAATAATGCAGAACACCATAATAGCTAAAAACTAACTTTAACCATATCTTTCACGCCTGTGTTGTTAAAATTTTCATTAACATCCATCTGAAAAAACCAAAAGAAAATTTCCCCCAGTTATTAGTAAGTGTATCGGCAGCAAGATAAAAGGAGATACCTTTTCTGATTGAAAACTCATTATGAATTTGATTATTTACTGCCAAAGTGAACCGTGCATAACTGCTCCAAAGAAATTCAAAACCAAGAATATGAATACTTAACTATCTCCAAAACAGAAAATCAAGAGGAAAAGGGTAAGTATTATGAACAAGGGAATGAGCATGTACCTAGAGAAGTTATCAATCTTCCAAGTGAATCCTGATGGAGGATCCTACAAAACGGTATTTATCGCCCGGGTTATCAATTTGAAAAATCAAAAACTCCTTCCAGTGATTCCTACAAGAAACAAGAATAATATCGTGGGAGGTTGCATTGATGTAAAGTGATAAAGACAATAAAAAACAGTGAAATACATAAAGAAATCAAAATTGAAGATAATGAAAAGAAACTCCAAATGCATCAAATTGGTCAACTAAAAAGAAAAAAAAGAAAGAAAGAAAGAATGAGAATGTGGGCTATGAAATTGATAGGGTTAGGGAATCTCTCTCTATGGGGTGAATTTATAGAGAATTATCAAAAAGCATGATTTTGTAATTTGTTACCGTTACAACACATGGGTTATAAAATTACCGTTTACTAAACAATGCTGATTAGTATGGAAATAAAGAGTATTAAAAAAACTATATCAAAGGCATTTGAAACCCTAAAGAAATCAAAATTGAAAATGATGCGTCAAATTAGTAAAGAAAACAATTAAAAGAAAGATAGGAAGAGAGAACCTCGATGGATGAATTTATTATACTATGTGAGGAGAAGCCACCAATAATGAGATTCGGTCGATAATAGAGACGATGAAATAGTGGGAATACCTTTTTTAAAAATAGTTATAAATAAAACAATAAAATTTTTCTCAACTATTATAACAATTTTGTGTTTGGATTTAAGGTAATTGTTTTATTTAATGATTAGATAAATTTGAACTATATAAATATTATTAACTATTACTTAAAATAAAAAATTAAATCGATAACATCATATTAATCAATGTGATCAACCTAAACTAGAGATGTTTAAATAATAAGTTAACTACACATATGATCACTTATGTTTGTGTTTTGTCTATTTTTTGTCACTGTTTGATATAATCATACATTTGGTCCATGTTATTTATGTATTCTCTCAATTTAGTCCTTTTAAATCTATTATGTTAGTTTGTCAACTATAATATTTATTTGACTGATATTTATGATAAAGTTAGACTAATTATATTATTTATCAACTATCATTTTATCACATTCTCTTATATCTTTGGTTAATCTAGACACTAGAAAAATAATATATTATGAAACTAACTTCATTGGAACATCATCGACAGAGATTTGAGCATTAGAAAATTAATATTATGACTTGATTTTCATTGATTTTGAATGAAATTTGAGAAAAACAAAATTATTGAGAATAAAATGGGGTACAAAATGTAAATATTATTGTACCATCTATGTCACGTACGTTGGTAGATGATAATTAAAAGGATTTAAGATCTTTTTACAAAAGAAAAAAAATAACATCATAAACCATATTAAAATATTAATAGTTTAATGACTAAAAAATGAATTAGAAAGCTTTAGTATTATAATTTTAACTTTTTATAGCTCAACGATCAAAACAAAAATACGGTCAAAGTTTAATATTTAAGAATGTATTTTACCTTTTAAAAAACAACAATCACAAAATTAAGCATAATAAAGGAACTAAAATGAGAATTCGACTTTTAAGATTTATATCAAATTAGGACTAAATTGAAAAAATATATAAACAACATAGACCAAATATGTTTAGGTACATCACTTTCAAAAGACCCTAAATCTAAAACCACAAAGTTAAAAGAGATGCAGGGAATTTGGATATTCAAATAAGAAAAATATGTACTTCGCATAACTATTTTTTGACAATTGTAATCAACTAAATACAGAAAACGAGCATTGGATTGCAGATAAAGATGACATATTAGATCAGAGAACAAAATCCTGTTAAGATTCAAACGTACTCAATAATCCAGTTTTAACTTAAGTAAAGAACATTAGGACTTCTTTGGCTGCATCCATATAAGTAGTTTGCATAATCAGATTTCCATATATCAATCGGCCCTTTATTAATTTCCTGCTATAGCATTTGCATCAAAATTAGAGTCATAAAAAATGTTGGGGAAAAATGCAGAAAACTTCAAAAATTTTAATCATATAAATGCAAACAAAGTTTCCTTCTTTGTTTTGGGTTTGAACTTTTTACCAGTATGAAATAGGATCTTCGTTTCATAAGTCGGTGGGAGTACCACTCAAGGTCAGACGCCGTGTTTTCAGTGAAGAGCGAGATAATGACTAAGCAGAAAAGCATCAAGCCACATATGAGCGACCAGGAGATCGGCAGGCTGACCCCTATTGAGAAAGGAACTACACTAAACAATTTTGTTTTCAACAACAGGAAATGCAAATTTAATAATGAGGAACCAGAAACAATATTATTTACTGAGATGTACTTCCACTTCAAGCTGACCCATATATGACCAGTGCAAGTGCCTCCAGAATGATTGAGCCATGTATCAGATACAATGCATTTACATTAGGACATGCATATCAGTAGAATAGGTCAAAAGAATTTAACAGAAAAAAGAAGAACGATGAAAAACTCAAAAGAGAGGCAAACTAAGGCAGATCACATCACAATAGATTTATCAAGGCACCATGTAAGCATACGCAGGATACAAAAGTTGGGTGAAAACAAAGAATAGCAGGAACAAAGTAAACTCACGTCATAGAAATGCAGTGGTTCCCCAATTCTGTATTTTTGAAAACATGGTTCGAACGATGCAATCGACATCTATTCCCTAGCTTTGCAGAAGAACCAATTGTACAAAAAGGACCTACTGAAACACCCTGTGCCATCACAATTTTGAAATTTCTCATGAACACAAATCATTATAACAGAGTACAGCCAACAAAGAACTTAGCTTTCACAGTCAAAGCAAATCATAAAGATTTCAGGTACGCAAACCCAAATGCCCTGATAATGTAACTTAGGGACAAGCCTCTTCATTCCACTCAGAAATCAGAAGAAAATGTAACTTACATTTAGATATACAGTAACATTCAACAATGGAAGCTGTAAATCAGAATTCAAACACCCCAACTCAACAATAAAACGATATTATATTATAAAATTTGCAAATCCAAATTACTGACTACTACCACTAACCTTAGAATGCTGTAGAGATCTAAAATTTGCAGATCAAAAGCACTACAACGGCAATGACTAGTTTAGCGTAAATTCCCTGAGCAAAAAATAAAGAACATAAAAACCCACAACAAATAATCAAAGGAACCGCGCTAACACCAATATGCTACTCGTCAATAAGCAAAATAAAAAGAAAACACCAATTGAGCAGTGAGAAAAGAGGTAAATCGCTCCAAAGTGAACTCAAAATCGACCACTCCTTGGAAAAAATTAAACTAGACTTTTCAACTTAACCTCCAAGCATTCAACATAAAGAGCTACCTCACCACGTAAACAATGTAACTTCTCCAAAGAATTGATTTACAGTCGTTTTTAGCAATGACGAGGTAGCTTCCGAGTTATTGATTAAGCAATTAAAATCCAAAGAATCCAATGGTGTGAAAGCTAAAAAGAAGAATTCTCCCTCGGTAGAAGCAGAAGATGCAGAAAAATGATGTTGAGAATCCCACATCTATACCCACATCTATAAAAGATACGATTAAAACATTGGTACAAAAAAACTAAAAACAAAACGAAAAGATTAAGAAGAGCGAACAAACCTTCAATACCGGAGCGGTAAATCCCGAAACCAAACCAATAAGCGTAATCATTGTAATGAGTGAGATCATAGACATTCAAAATCACATCGGTTTCGTTGAACACCGAGAACTGTGGGCGTCTTTTTTTGCTTTTCCAACAGAAACATATATGAAGATGTTCCTGAAAATACTGACTGTTTTGTCTAAGCAGTGAAGAGTGGGATCATGGCTAAGCATAAAAGCATGAAGGTAGAGATGAGGGAGCAGGATATCGGTTCCTTTTAACGGTAAAACCGTTTTCTCTGCCACTTAAAACGAGAGATATAAAAGAGAGAAACACGAGAGAAGAGTTTTGTTTTGTTTCAGGTTGTATTCATTCCCTGTAACATGCATTCAAAACTTATCGAGCATTGTATTCATTCCCTGTAACATGCATCTGCAAGAACATGTATTTGTCAGTGAGGCTAAGGCAATGCATAGACATAATGAGAGCTTAGCGTTACCTCTAGATGCTCTCTTGGTTTTGGATTTGGTTTTGTTTAATAATGTTCCATCGCCTTCATCTGTTCCTACAATGTCTTCTTCAGCAGATTCTTCACTCAAAAACACTGCCTGAGATTTCCCATATTCTGCAGGAATTCGAAGAGTTACATCTAGATACTAAATGTTACTCGAAAAAAAAAACAAAGTTCTATGGAATATTTACCATCAAAGTAAGCAAAAGCCAAAGCGGCGACCGCATTGAAAAGGAGTGTGAATCCAACCAATGTAATAAGACCAATCCAATATCAATCCGGACTGGTGAAAACCCCACGAGCTCTCAAGACTGCTACTCCCAGAGTCTATAGAAAATAATGAAGCCACTAGAGAAAAATCTAAACACAGCAAATAATCAAAAAGACTCACCGTCAGCAATAGCTAGTGTCATGTCATCTATGCGGCTTTTGATAAGATCCACAATCCGATCTTTTTGAAATGGCGCAACACGACAACAGAGAACTACGCTACAGGAAGTTGCATTCAGAGAAAAATAGAAATTTCAGAGAAAAGTAAACTAACAACATTCAGAGAAAAGGACGTTATGCCACAAATTAAAGCTATTCAAGAACTTGAAATTTCAAAAATCCTATTTACAGCTATTCAATTAAAAATAGAAATTCAAACTCACCCACAGACAGCAGTAAGCAGATGAGAATATTTATATATGTATAAACCGCAGAAAAAGGAAAGAAAAGTAAACTGACAAAATTCCATTTGCTCTTCCATTTTTCATAGGTAACAGGCGTAGAATGAAACGAAGCAACGAGGGCAGCAGCAAGCCAGCAACTGTGGTGGTTGGTTTTGAAGGTGACGAAGCTGTAAGCAATGAATTCTTGAGTAGTAACAAGTTTGGACATTTGGGTATCTGCATAAGCGATGAAATCAAGACAAAACCCACTCTCTTCACGAATCGATACAGAGGGAGCTTTGGGTGGTAAAAAGAAAAGAATTTGCATCTACCAAGAAGAAAGTAAGGATTTTTGGTGTTGGATTGGATCCTTCGATTGTTCTTGAGTTTTGGAGGGAACAGAAGCATTGTAAAAGGAAAGGGAAAACAAAGGAATCACTCCAGAGAAAAAAATAATTCAAGAAAAACAGCAAGAAATGAACAGAAATCAGAATTACCTGCCGTGTAGAGCTATGGGACTTTTGACAGTCCAAACCTTCAATACCAGAGTGTTAAATCCCGAAACCAAACCAATAATGGGATCCAATTGCCTCGTAATGTTCTCATCAAACGACTTAAACAAGCATTCTCCAACAACGATTAAACGAAAACACCCCCCTTAGAACTTGAGGGTAAATGGGCATTGATATTTGTATGGGGTAGAGATAAATCCAACATCTGGTGGTGATTTTTTTGTATGAAAAAGTAAGGAAAGGATTTGTTTGGGTTCGACATAAACCAAGAAAATGAAAAAGATTGAAGGTTTAAGATTAAACAGGCGTAAACCAAATAGGCAAAGGTATCAGGCGTACACCTTTATCCCACATTCCTTAAAGAAAGAAAAAGAGAGTGCTTTTTAAAAAGTAACCAGCCGTTTCCGAGAGTGGTCGTAGGCCATCTGCACATTTGTGCACGTGGTAGGCCTTCGGCCCATGAGTTGAAGCAGCTGCAAGTTTGGGTGGGCTTGCGGCTGCCTTAAATCTTTCACGTGCGCAGGAAGAAATTAAGGGTGGTGGGCGGGCTTTTTGGTCCGGGTTTACTTTTCAGGGTTTAGGGTGCATACATGATTTTTTCTTCAAGTGAACTTTTTAAGTATTAGACCAGAACCCTATTTTACATTCTGGCGTAAACTAGCAGGTATGCTTCCTAGAGATAGTGACAGTTTTTTCCTTGTGAATCAGATGAATGCAGGTGTCGTTTTGTTGACGGATTGTGTTTTTTGGTTCATAATTGTCCCCTTGTCATTAAGGATTACAATCTCAGTGTTGTAAGTATCACCATTCACTCATATCTCATTATAGGCGACTAAAGCATTTAAAAACCATTATGCACCATAAGATGAACAGAAAAAGAAAAAAGCCCCAGTGTGTTGTCAGGTACTTCGGTTCTTATATTTAAATCTTTTGGTGGCAGCTTGCTATTAACATGCATACTCTCAATGCTGTTTTCCTACTAGGTGACACTGTTTTGAACTGCTTGGTAAGTTTCCCTAATCACATTCAAATTGAGAACAATCATACATTCTAAATCTGTCCATAAATTTCATGTTAAATTTTGCTTCTTTGTCTCGTTCAGAACTTCCCCTGTTTTCGGATAGCATACTTCTTCCTGTGGACATTGATATATGTTATATTAAAGTGGATCGTTCATGCTTGTGTGAATATCTGGTAAATCCATTAGCCCCCATCTTACTCTAGTGGGATATGATGTTTACATGTAATTTGACCTCTGTATGCTTGCTTTCAATTGCTATAAACAGGTGGCCGTATCCATTTCTTGAATTGTCATCGTCATATGCTCCCTTATGGTACAAGTCCTAAACCATATTTGATCTTTTATAATTGTCAACAATATGTAGGGTTTGGCATTATATGTTTGTATCAGTCGTGTCGTTTCTACATATTCATCTAATATCGTCTCCGAATCGGGATTTGAAGGTACTTTTCGGTAGCATTGATGCATTTCCCATGCTATGGTGCCTTTGCTTTGGTGATACAGCTCAAGCACCATGTGTTTTCAAGATGGTTCCGTGAGTCCTACCAGTGTCTGAGGTAACTTGTGCTGACAATTTGACCAGAAGAAGGTTTTGAAGAAACATGTAATTTCCCCCCACAGAAGAGACAGATGCAATGGAGTTGATACATATGTAGGTAGAGTTTTGGAGGATACAAGATTGCTTAGCAAAAGCAGGAAGATCCTCTTGTTTATTCAACAAGTAGCTTTACACTGTAACTACTGACAGTTCAGGAACTAACCCCTTATTCGGCTATTGTTCCACTCAGCAATTTTACCCTGCTCCCTATATATACATTCAATACAATGGATATTATTTTTTTGCGCCCTTCTTTGTCCAATTATAATAAAATTGAGCTCAATTTGTATCTGTATGCTGAAATGCTGACAACACATCATAGTTGCTAAATACTATTCACAACTTTTAAAATATCACCTGAAAGTTTCAGCAAACTTAGACCACCACCAGCTTCGTAAATGTATGATGTCCATTCAGACGGCTTTCTTTGTGTTTCATTAAAGAGGCCTGGCTGGTCAGCCCTAAGCATTCTGCACCTGCTGCAACAACATAGGCTTCCATTTAATACAACAGGAAGGAGATGAAGTAAACGGTACTTAAGGGCACAAATTCGAAGATGGTACATTCAGGGCACAAATTCGAAGATGGTACATTCATCGATAACAAAATCCCAAAATGTCAAAGAAAAGTTTTTAGGAATCTCACCATAGACTTGGTTATACCGGTATCGACT